ATATGTATATACATATAGACATATAAATAAATAATATATGTATTTATACACACACACACACACATATATATATATATAAGATTATAACTTATATCTGTTTGGCTTGTAGTTGTTAGAGTACTGCCTCCGAGTGTGTATATATTCGCAAACAACTGTAATACATCACTGCACTAATCATTCTTGCAACGCTGGTGAATACATGCACTGCACTGATATGTAAAGCCACAAATAAACAACTTCTAACATACTTTGTGTATCTGTAACGGAAATCATCGCGTATTTCTTGTTTCCTCACTCTTTTGCCCCAATTCAACAGCCCTACTCACACTCTCTAGTGCGTATTTGGGTTTGGTAGGTAGTGGTATATTGTGCATATGCAGAGGCAAATTCTCCTTAATATGCTGATCGAACCTTGATACAGCTTCCGGTGTTGATATGGATGCTACAGACTGTCTATATCTTAGTATGGGTGTGTGCTCACGAATTATCCGCGGTGCAGCAATCTTCGAACTTGTATTGCCACTATTTATATCTATTGTCCCTACAACTATATCGTCATCCACAGGTGTATTGAATGCTTCCAATCGAGTCAAATGTGGGGATGTGTGCAGCGATGGGGAGCTAATATATACACGACGTGTGTAATTATAACTATACTCAGGTAAGCTGACTTGTCTGCCTAGCAGTGTGATTGTATTACTAGATACACTATGTAGTCGCTTATTCCCCACAACTGGTGGAACCTTGACCTCTTTCGTATTGCTACTATTATGAATATTGGAGCCCTTCGTGTGCGTGATTTGTTCTGAATCTGCGCGTGCTACAGACAATCTGACTGTATTTTGTGCTTCAATATCACTCGAATTGGCTACAAGTGCATGTGTCAATACTGGTGAGGTCCCCGATTGCTGACACGCATTCATGTGTGCTTGTGGTGTCTCTCTGTGAGGCTATAAAATATATTGTGTCAGCTTTGTGCCACATCCGGTTAGTATATACAGTCTCTATAGAGCAATCCGTCGCCTTCCTTGTTATTCCATACACTCAATGTCAATATCTGAGCGTACCACTCGAATGCATGCATGTGTAACAATCTCACGGTGTTGACAAATGAGCTATTTACGTAGGCCGATCATTCCGACCAAACTCACCTGAACCGCTGAAAAGCCTGCGGCCGGCACTGTATTGATTTTATTATTTTGCCCCAGAAGTTTGATGGAGTGGAGAAATGACGATGTGAATGGAATCCCGATTCATCTGATCACTGACTATAAGGAATCGATGTTGTTCATTAATTAGCCTTTGTAGGCATAGCCTTCTTGCATAATTCAGAAGGCTATGCTTTAGACCAATATTCTGCTTCAATAAGCGACCACACTCTTACAACCAGAATGATCCCCTTATTTAATTATGTACTTGTGACGTGGAAACAGCGCTGTACGTAGATGAAAAAGGGAGCCTGCATTTCTTACTACCGATAAATGCCCCTCAACTACGAGGTTCATGGCAGCGTTCTGCTTTAAAAGCTAACGCTCTCCTATAACAAATCGTATCATATTTCTTGTTATAGTGTTTATGCTACGCTATGCAGATGAAGAAAAAAAGAGCCGAAAAAAAAGAGCCAGTGAGTGTATTATGGAGATCAAATGTGAGTTGAATAACAGTGTTCTGCCTCATTAAGCACCCACTCTCATACAACTTTCATGATCCTCTTAATTCTAGATGAACAGTTAGAAGCTGCGCTACGTAGACGTAAGAAAGAGAGAGAGAGGGAGAGAGTCAGAAGTCTTTCAAGCGAAGGTTGACTATCAACTGTTGAGCCACACGGCAGTGTTCGGCTTCAATAAATAGCCGCTCTCCTACCATCAACCTGGTCACTTTATTTCTAGTTGTACTGTTGTACGTTCACCTGTGTAGATCGACGAAGAAGCAAGCAGAATTAGCGAAGGTGATATCTGTGAGATACATGGTAGTGTTCTTCTTCGATATGCTTGCGCTCCTCTACAACAAAGCAGGACACCCTTATCTAGTAGTGATGTTAGATACTGCGCTATTGAGATGAACAAGATATATCCCATAGCAGGACTAGTGAAGAGTGGCCGTAAACAGTGAGTTACATGGCAGTCTTCTACTGCAATAAGCTACCGCTATCGTACAACAACCCTGATCTCCTGAACTCTATTTGTAGGTTTAGATGCTGCGCTGTGTAGACAAGAGAGGAAGCCGGCAATCTTATTTGACAATAGTGGCCGTTAACTGTGCGCTACATGGCAGTGTTCCTTCAATAAGCTACTACTATCTTGATTATCTATATCTAGCTGTAATTTTTAATATTTGCCAAGCTATGTATAGTCGTAAGGGGGAAACAGCAGTCGTACTTGTCACATGGCAGTATTCGACTACTATAAGTTACCGTTCTCCTACAACATACGTGATCTTGATACAGCTGAAATGTTAGATGCGCCTGCAATATGAAGTACACCGCCTATGGCAAACTGGGTAGACAACCTGTGCAGCATGAATTCTTTGTTATTTCGTTTAAGAAACATGGGTAGCATTGCTAAGACCAGATATTTCTTGTGCGAAGATGTTCACATTCGGCTATTCTGTTCACATTCGGCTATTCGGCTATGAATTTGAATTCTTGACCTCGAAAGGAAAATCGAACTCGCTTAAATAGCCTTGGATATCGAGTCCACACATCCGTAAAACCTAATCAGTCAATCTGATCATAGCCCTGTTGAGGTATTTATTATTTAACGGTCTGTCACGTTATTCACCACCCTGGTTTTCAAACAAATCCATTCTTCTAATTTCTTCCGCATCGTCTGGCAGACAAAGCAATAGATCCTCCAGATCAAGTTCAGAACTCAAGCGACGTGACAACGTTCCAACCGCATCCAGCTCGGAATCATCGCATTCTGAAGTATCTGTTTCGTATGAAATATCAATGTTTCTACGTGCGTCTTCCCCCTCATCAATCTGCTCGCTACTATACACCTTGTCTTTCTTTCCGAGTTTCGACGACGTCTTCATACTGGCTTTACGGGCCAATTTGCCCTGGCTGGGGAAGCTCCTTAGTCGCCGGACAGCCCGTCGAATAGACTTCGTTCCCTTCATAAGTGAGACATTCCTAGCCAGTCTACTCTGCTTGGCTGCCTCTGCCGGGTTCGATTTACTGTATTCCCGCCCGGCAGTCACCGCACAGTTGACTCCACAACCGTCATGCTGACAAGGCGAGTAGATGGAGTTCTCGGATCGAGAACGTCGGTGCCCGCGTTTCTTCTCTTGCAGCAGTCGCTGAGCCTCGAGAGTGGTCTCCCCAGTACCAAATTGCTGTGTGAGTGATGCCCGCCTGGTCACCAGGCGTGGTGTGACGTCGGATAGTAAGCAATCGCCACTGATGTCAATTCCCGCGCTATTCATGGCCAGGGCTGTGAGTGACTCCTCTCCCTCCACAATACTGTGGGGTGAATGGTGGGTTATCGGACAGTCAGCACTGGAAGCGGCGTATTTGGTCTCGGCAAAGCGGGTCGGTGGCAAGCCGGAGTCAGGCCTCTGGGTGATGCTATTCTGCACTTGAAACGTTGATTGCTCACTGCCAATGCTGGACGCGCTGTGAGTGGAAAACGTATTCGAATACGTTTCACTTTGCACCGGAGACCTGAGAGTGAAATAAGCGGACTGGACGGGCTCGGCACTCGAGTCTGCGCCGATTGCAGTTACCGTTTTCAGCACTTTCTGCATCTTGAACGCATCTTGGCGCTCGGTGTAGGACCTCGCTCGAATGACGAAATTATTGCGCATCCTACATGCGAAATTTAACAAGTAGAACGGTTAATAGGGCGTTAAGTTCGTACAAGGTAAAATCATTATCACAAGATATTAACATTACAAAACAGGTCACGTATCATAGGTCTGGGCACCATGTTATCTGAGATCGTATTCAGCCATTCTTAGCCTCAGAGTATAGTGATGAAGTTCTTAGCCTCAGAGTATAGTGATGAAGCCATTCTTATCCTCAGAGTATACTGTTAAAGCCATTCTTAACCTCAGAGTATAGTGATAAAGCCATTCTTAGCCTTAGAGTATAGTGATAAAGCCATTCTTAGCCTCAGAGTATAGTGATAAAGCCATTCTTAGCCTCATATCCTCCAACATTGAGACAGAACCATCCTTCGAGTGTACTGTACACACTCTCCCGCAGCCAATGATATGTCCAACCCATGACAAGCTAGCAATCCAATCAACTTGTGTATCTACAAGGATGCACATTCATAAGCAACAGTATTACACGCCGTGATATTATACACATACTTGCTCATACATATATGCAGCCAAGTTGGTACGCGCGATACCACCCACCTTGTTTTTCTAGGTTTGACCGTGTTCTGTTCAGCAACCAGACTATCATTTCGAATACCCTTTGCAGCTGGCAGACCCAGCGATTCGGATGATTTAAACTGACAAGCGACCAACAAAGGTAGGACGGGAGATCCAGGTTGGTCGTTGGGTTTTGTGCCTATAATGTATAGCGTTGATTGTGAGTCAGGACTGAATCTAGTACTCACCTATCGTTGCAGGTGTAGACAATATAAGAGGCAAAACAATACCGCTCTGCGGTATAGATAGGATCAACTGAGAAATATCTCGACATAGGACGTGCGGGATCTGATGCAATAATACATTTTGCCACGTACGCTGGAGGTGTAACGCATAGCTGGCTGATTGTAGAACGTGTTCTCAGATCGATAAGTGTAGCATTTACATTCGCCACTTCTACTACCGGTACTACGAACTACTCACGGAGGGGTGTCAAGACCTTAGTGAACCTGACCAATACCCATAGGCATACTCAGCAAGTAGTGTTACTACTAGGCCCACAACATGCTGCGCTACGATGTGTTTGAGATTCATTTCAGTTTTTTTTTCTACCAAGTGCATCATGTGGCCCCAAGTCTCACATCGGACATTGAATATAAAAAAGTACAACACAAGCTATGGGCAAAAAAGGCGTGAGATTGTTCACCCGAGAAGCCAAGATTGTATGATTGATACAATGACGATCCGTTCTGTACGCGTACGGTACCAAGGCTCAAATATCACACCTCATAAGATGGGTACAATGTGTCTGTAAACCGACTATACGAATAATACAATGACGATCCGTTCTGTATGCGGACAAGACCAAGGCTCAAATATCACACATCATAAGATGGGTACAATGTGTCTGTAAACCGACTATACAGCGCTTGCAAAATTGAACGACACAAATCTATTTTGAAAGCCACATTCCTGCCAAAAAGACACACTAAGCTAGTCGCCTGAACCTACTTGTCTGTGACAAAGGGAGAGCACCAAATTGGAGACAGCTGCTACTAGATATGCCTCCCTCCTTGGGTGGGTGCCGTTTATTTTGTACCTGAGTAGAGGGATCGATAGAAGTACAATGAACAAGCTTAGCAAGCAACGAACCTCTTATCGGTAGTGTGAGGTGGGTTGTGTCTTCTTGTTCTCTGTGAACCCCTGAATCAATCGAATAAAACTGGCTTGGGTGCAAAGTGTAGAACTAAATGTTTTGTTTTGTGAAGGATTCCAGCTCTTACAGTACAATTCAATACTGTCTACTCGATAACTGTCAAGGCGCACACGCGATTGACTCATCAGTTATTTCATCGGCATGAAGTTGTAAGTCATCTATACAACGAGGACCTAAACGACCAGTATGCTATTAAAGTTAACAGAAGCGGATCTGACACGAACATACCTTCTTCTTAGAAGTTCCTCGTTTGTCTTTGAGGGACATCCCCTTCGCTTCACTATAGGTGCAGTAGTCGTGTCCGGTTATAGTGAGGCATGAGCCCAGGATAGAGATGTGAAGATCGGCAACATCCGGCAGATGATCGGGAATGCAGTGGAAGAACATTGATACTTTGTTCTGCAGTTAAGGGATAGTTAGACAAATAACTCATAGGTAACCAACCATGAAATTTGGATACAGATTTAGGGTGCTAGCAAGAGAGCATTAGGCTTGAAGCCAAAACAGCTATGAATTCGGGTCGGAGTTCGTATTTCTCAGCGGGTATCTGTAGTGAGTTGCAAATTCATATTCGCTATAGAGAACTCATCCGTAGTATAACTACACTCGATCTCACCTATTCTCAGGTCATCGAAATTTCATGCCTCATCTATAAGCTTATTTTGTCTCACCTAAGAGCATGACAACGTAGAGCCACATACTAATACTATGGCCATCCTTATTCATATGTGCACGCGTTGACCAATGAATTATTAAACCGGTCAGATTAAAGAAAATTAGAGACGGGCAATATACGACCACATATAGAGTGTATGTATTGCATCCGTGCTTATAGACAGACATTTCAATAAGAAAACTTAAAACGATCCCCGTACAAGACACACACAACACACCTCCGTGAGCAGTTGCGTTCGATGGATAAGTATGTCTTCTGTAGCCGGCCCTACAGCTGTTAGGAATATTGGATTGTCGCTGTTCTGCTTGATGGTTGGCAGAAACACTTTCAGCGCGGCAGTGAGGGACGTTTCATCGCACGGATCAAAGCACAGCACGGTTACCAGGGGCTTTTCTATGTGCCATGGTAGATCTGTATTGGGGTACGATATGTACCGTACTACCTTGCCTACACAGTGAAGAATATTGATGGCCTAAATGAGCTACGCACATATTATCAGTATGACCCGTAGTAAATATGTTCTTTTTGCTCTATCGTACGGCACAAGTGGATGCATGACAATAAGACATGAATCGTCCCTACTTTCAGCAAGATGGCAAATATAGTTTCATACAGAAGTCAAAACAAAACACACATA